GAGTTCCACTTTTGTGGAAATACGGCTAAAACCAGCGGCTGAAACCGTCGTAAAAAATTACAATAGGATGGCCGCTCTCAGGTTTCTCTCTGGTATTACATATATGTGAAAACTGATATTTCCTTCCTTTGATTTGACTTGCTCGGTCCAAATCATATACAGTGTGCCCAGTTTTGACTCTCTTACAGCACGCTGCAGCAAGTGGAGGGGATACGCACACAAGCGAGCAGCCGTGTACGTGTGCGCTCGACGCTTCGGCCGTCTTCGGGCGGTAGAAGAGAACAGAGATATGTCTACTGTTTCTTTCTTTCAACATAGCTATAGCGTACGCGGCTAGCGCGAGCGGCTAAGCCTGTTTATCATAGATCTTATAGATATGGAGTGGGAATAGCGGCGACGAGCTGTGAACAAGATCTGAGAGACAGATGATATACTTCTGTCCTGCTCATGTACCGTTTTTCTTTCTGCGCATGTGCTTGCGCAAGTACCACGTAATATACAAGATTTGTCTTATTTCCTGAAAATAACCTGTAGGAGCCAGTGCAAGGAAATAAGACAAAGCAACGGTTTTTTAATTGAATTAAATAAAACAAATAGATTGTGATATAAACGTATTGAATAAACGTTTGTGTTGATTTAAACGTACTTACAATGGGTCGATATTGCATTTTATGAGGTAATCATGAAAAAACAGCATCTTACCACAAGTAAATAAATATATTACACTCTTAATAACTATATTAATTCTTAATAAATATATGTTCTACGCTTGCAAGATATCTTAGATTAAGTGGAATCATATTGCAATTTTTGTAGATTTCCAAAAGATATTCAAATAAGAAAAAAATGGTTAGAAATTTGTAATATTGATAAGACAGTTCTCAAACTTTCTACTTGCTTGTGCTCAAATCATTTTACCAAAAAGGATTATATTCTTACAACAGATAATAAAGTTACATCACCAAGCTAAATTCTCAAGTGATGCTGGAAAAACACAATATATACGTCACAAACATTCAAAACACTAATACATTTTTATCATCAATAATATATTATACTTTAAAAAAATATTATACTTTAAAAACAGCTAATATATTTAAAAACATATATTAATAAAATATATATTATACTGAATATATATTTTTCTTTTATTTTAACCCATTTGTTTTATTTAATTCTATTCTAAAAAATACCGTTAGTTTGTCTTATTTCCTTGCACTGACTGCTACTTTACAGGTTATTTTCAGGAAATAAAACAAATCTCGTATATCACGTGGCACTTGTGCAAGCACATGCGCAGAAAAAAAAACAGTACATGAGCAGGACANAAGTATATCTTCTGTCTCTCAGATCTTGCTCACAGCTCGTCGCCGCTATTCCCACTTCATATTTATAAGCTCTATGGTGCCTCCAGAGAGAAGCCTGAGAGCGGCCATGCCATTGTAGTTTCTTACGACGGTTTCAACCGCTGGTTTTAGCCGTATTTCCACAAAAGTAGAACTCAAAGGCCGTTCTCCATGAAACTCAAGTCTCAGATCTCGTGGAACTGATCAATCACGTTGGTCGATTGGCTGATTTGACTCTGCAATTGGTCAATTCCACGAGATCTGATACTTGCGTTTAATGTAGAACGGCCTTTGAGTTCCACTTTTGT